TCAGTGGGAGCAACATCAGTGCCACTTATGGGCACAGTGCCTCCTGAGAAGTGCTGAGCGCCACTGCCTACCAGTACAATCAATGTGACTTGAAGGCATATAGCACCTCTTATGAAAGACTTGGCACCTCCCATGACTGGGCCACAAATGAACACTTTACCAGAATAATCAGCTATTCAAGCATCTAACACAGGGGTGGGCAAACTTTTTGGCCTGAGGGTCACATCAGGGTTCCGAAACTGTGGAGGGCCGGGTAGGGATGGCTGTGCCTCCCCAAACAGCCTGGCCCCCACCCCCTGACTGCCTCCCTCAGAACCCCCAACCCATCCAACCCCCCCCACTCCTTGTCCCCTGACCGCCTCCTCCCAGGACCCCCCACCACAACTGCCTCCTGGAACCCTAACTCCTATCCAACTCTCCTGCTCCCTGTCCCCTGACTGCCTCGATGCCTATCCACACCCCTGCCCCTGACAGGCCCCCTGGGACTCCCATGCCTATCCAACCACCCCCTGCTCCTTGTCCACTGACTGCCCCCCAGGATCCCCTGCCCCTTATCCAACCTCCCTGCTCCCCGCCCCCTTACCATGCGGCTCAGAGCACCAGGACTGGCAGCCATAAGTAAGCAGCACATTCCTAAGGGGAGCAATTTAATATACTACACCGGTGGCTCCCGTAGCCGCGCTGCCTGGGCAGGAGCTTGCAGCCCCGCTGCCCAGAGCGCTGGGGGCACGGCGAGCTGAGGCTGCGGGGGGCTAGCCTCCACAGCCAGGAACTCAAGGGCCAGGCAGGACGGTACCTTGGGCTGGATGTGGCCCGCAGGCTGTAGTTTGCCCACCTCTGATCTAACAAAACTTCCCAATTTCAACTTAACTGAAAAGAGCTAAATCATAGATAATTTTTTCTCTTCCATAAACGGTCAGTATGAAGCATTGCAAAATTAGAGCCTTCCTGTACTGTTTAAATGTCTTATGTAGATGCTAACCTATGCTTAATCAGTATCATTTATTAAAATACAACAGGAAATATCAAAAGTGAAGTACTGTGTTAAAACACTCCAGTTCCTTCTGTTTCCTTATAGTGCCTCTTCAGCATAAACATCTGTTACATAGATTTCTGACACTGAGCCAGTGCTAGCTATCATCAACCTAATGTCATACGCTGAAGAGAAGTGATGGCAAGACCACATGGACAGAAATTTGCTGCTAGTTGCATATGCAAATAAAGGATTTTAATCTTCTTTTATTCACTATGTAAATCCTACTGGCATTAATGGGAGTTATTCAGGCATACTGAGAGAACAGAGTGAGTACTCGAGCATCTGAATGGAATAATTTGTAAATAACAGCTCATCTGTACAAGTGTCTGGATGTATTTAATACTCCTGGGGGCATTCTGTGCCAAAAAATTAAAAATTCTGCACATAATATTTTAAAATTCTGCAAATTTTATTTGTCAAAATAACACTACATAATCACACCTGTTTCATTTATTTCAAAATACCTGTCAGCAAGTATGTCCGTAGCAATACGGATACACAAATTCCCCCAGGAGTAGAGAGTTAAAGAAACCCATATGACAACTCAGTTCCTGTTTCTCTGCCGCATTTCCTCCTCCCCTCCACCCTGAGCCCAGCTGCAGGGCCCCTCCTTGCCCAGATACCCAAACCCCCTCCCCCTCCTCAGAGCACAGCCGTGGCTGCCCCCAGCCCAGCCATCCCCATCCCCTCCCCCGAGCCCAGGGATCCAGAGGGGGAAACAGCCTGATGCTTGGTCCCAGGCTTGTATGGAGTTTCCTGTGTGTTGTCCTCTCCTTCCCTTAGGGGCCAGGGCATGCTGGGAATTGCAGCTGCCATGAACCTTCTAGCTCCCTCCCCCTCTCCCCAGCAGCATCTTCTGTGTACAAGCTGGGTTCTGCCGGGTCCATCAACCCCTAGTGGTGGCTAGCAGCACTGCAGCCCATTTCTGTGGGGGAAAGGAAATTCTGCACGCGCATTAATTTCTGCAAAATTCTGCATTGCGCATTGGCACCAAATTCCCCCAGGAATAATTTAGGGTGGTGGTAGTAGCAATACAGAATCCAGCCTTGGTCAATAAGGACTAATTGTTTTTACCAGTTTGTGTCTATTCAGAGACCTGGGTGAAATGAGCTGATGGTCTCATTCTAATCCCTAATGGGCAAGTGGTCAGAGCATAGTGAACATTATCATAATTGGTACATATTGCCACCCTCCTTGGTCCTCTCACCAGAGAGGCTTAGGACCAAGTAGGCATGAACATTTGACTACCTTCTCACCCTTAGAGGTGGCACTGGAGATCCTGGCTGAGAAAAACTGGAAGGGCAGCATGGGGAGCTGTATTTGTTCTGTAGGTGATTTCAGGTCTTGGAGGGTCATTCATCCCATGCCTTTTCACCAGCAGTAAATTTAATAAAATATTTACCTGGACAAGAGTCCATTCTGTTTGTTGACTAAGTGCCGCAACGGTGTCAACAGAACTTAAATCCAGTGCCTCTATTTCACGCTCACTAAGAGCTAGGGCAATACGTCCAAGGGAAACGATATGGTAACTCTTCCAGCCCGGCAATGCACCCCAAACCTTTAAAATAAATTAACATACAGCATCTATTAGTTCATAACGAACACTCACTTACATGCTCCATTGTCTCTACTTCTGATTTTAAAGTAATAATTAACAAAATAAAACTCTATGGGCTGGATTGTGTGGTCTGCTAATCCCATTCTTCACTGTGTAAGCAGAGGTTGGACAGTGCAGAGAATTGAGCCCTTCATATTTCTAGGGTGGTGACGCTCAGTTGATCTAAAAATACTTACATTGTCACACAAGATGACTTCTGGTTAATAAGTATAAATTGGTTGAATAAGCGGGTATGATTTTCCCTTTGTTTTTGTTTGTTTGTTTGTTTTTAAATCTTTTTTCCTCAAATTCCTGGGTTTTAAAAAAGCCATTATTCTGATTTTACTGATTTTCATCCGAATTTTGGAAGTGCTGGAACTCTCCAGATGTGGCTCCCTGCTCCAGAAGGAGAGATGGTGACCTGGTCTCCCTCTCACAGAGTCTTCTGACCTGCTTGAGGACAGTTTGTGGCTGCTGCTTCACAGTAAGAGGGACAGGGAGGGAGGGAGAGGGACAGCGAGCTGGGTCCTGGCAGCTGAGACTGCTTGACTGCTGCAGCAACAGGCTCGCAAGGAGGGAAGACTTGGTCACTGCTACATTGTGGTGAGTAGCAGGCACCCCTAACCCACTTCCCCCGCCACAGATACTGGGCACTCCCTCCCACACAGAGCACCCCGCACCGCCTGCCCATCACTGCCCCCCATGAGTACCAAGCATTCCCATCCCCCCATGCTAACTAGGAGTTTTGGAATTTACAGTGAAGCCCCTAATATCAAGCATAAGTCACCAATAGTAAACTAAAAAGAAAAGTTTTATTTCTTTAGGATTAGAGATAATAATAGTTTTGTAAACATTTTTGTCTCTCTTTGTTGCTTTTTTTTTTCTGTCCTCCCATCCCTCAGTATTAATGCCAATATTTATTTGGAAAACTGAAGAAGTTACTCACCTTGTGCTGTAATGATGGTTCTTCAAGATGTGTGTCCCTGTGCGTGCTCCACTCTAGGTGTCGGTGCGTCCCTGCGCCAGAGATCGGAGATTTCTCACAGCAGTACTCGGTCGGGGAAAGGACACGCACCGGAGTCGTCTGGTGCAGCCGTTGGCACCTCATGCAGCACGCGCTCCCCGACCGTCCCCTCTGTTCCTTCTCTACCGCAGAGCTTGGCTGTGTGAACTCTGAAGTAGAGGGGAGGAGGGTGGGTAGTGCAGCACCCACAGGAACACACATCTCGAAGAACCATCATTACTTCACAAGGTGAGTAACTTCTTCTTCTTCGAGTGGTGTCCCTGTGGGTGCTCCACTCTAGGTGCTTGTAGAACAGTACCCCACCAAAGGTGGTAGGGGTTCGGAGTTATGTATAAGTGTGTGATGAGAGCACTGTAAGGCCAATGATAGAGTCTGAGACAAGGCCTTGGGTGATAGCATAATGCTTTGTAAAAGTGTGCTCTGATGTCCAGGTTGCAGCTCTACAAATATCTATTAAGGGGACATTGTTCAAAAATGCAATCGATGTCGCCATGGATCGCTTCGAGTGGGATCTGATGCTCACAGGGAGTTCTTTGTGATGCAGGTGGTAGCAAGTCTGAATACAGGTAGAGACCCATTTGGAGAGTCTCTGGGTCGATATTGTAGAGCCCTTGGAGTGCTCTGATGTAGAGACAAATAGTCTTGGTGACTTGCAAAATGGTTTAGTTCTGTCCAAGTAAAAGGCTACAGCCAGTCTGACATCTAGCATGTGCAATGTTGCTTCTCGAGAGTCGTTATGTGGCTTGGGATAGAAGGCAGGTAAGTGTATGGTTTGATTAATACGAAAATTTGTAGCCACTTTGGGCAAGAATTTTGGGTGAGGACGTAACGTGATTTTGTCTTTGGTAAATACAGTGTATGGTGATTCAGCTATCAATGCTCCTATTTCACTGAAACGTCTGGCAGATGTGATTGCCACTAGGAACGCAACCTTCATTGACATATGAAGGAGCGAGCAGGTTGCTAGAGGTTCGAAGGGAGGTCTTGTGAGACATTTGAGCACAAGATTGAGATCCCATGGTGATGCAGGTTGGTGTACTTCTGGGTACATGTTCTGTATACCTGCTAGAAAGTGCCGTGTAATCAGGTGAGTGAATATTGAAGCCCCTTCTATCTGTTTGTGGAGGGCTGTGATGGCAGCCAGGGGTACTTTAATAGAGCTTATGGCTAACCCCATTTCCTTCCGTTCTAGTAGGTAGTCTAGGATCATAGAGAGAGGCGCCTTGGTCGCGTCCAGCTGTTTTTAGTGACACCAAAGGGAGAATCTTCTCCACTTGTGGCAGTAAGTATTTCTAATGGTGAGGGGACGGTTATTTAGTAATACCTGTTTTACTTTCCCCAAGTTGGAGCCAGAGAGGAACCACGCTTTGAGATGGAGTTTCGCTGGGTCTGGATGGAGCATCAGGCCCTCGTTCTGGGACAGAAGGTCCGTCCAGAAAGGCAGCGGTTGTGGAGCACAGACGTAAGAGGTACGGAAACCAAGTCTGTCTGGGCCATGTGGAGACAATGAGAATGATGTATGCTCTGTCGAGTCGTATCTTGTGGATGACCCGTGGGATCAGTGGTATCGGCGGGAAGGCATACATGAGTGACACGTTCCACGGGATGAGGAAAGCATCCCCTAACGATCCCAGTGCCAGGCCTGCCCTGGAGCAAAATAGTGGACATTAGTGATTTGTTGCTGAGGTGAAAAGGTCGATTACTGGGTGACCCCATTTTTGGAATATTGTGTAGAGAACACGGTCATGGATTTCCCACTCGTGTTCCTGTGAGAAGTGCCTGCTGAGGTTGTCGGCTGTAGTGTTTTAGCACCCTGGTAGGTATGAAGCTGTGATGTTTATATTGTTATGGACGCAGAAGTTCCATAAATTCATGGCTTCTACGCATAGCGAATGAGACCTGGCTCCTCCTTGGCAATTGATGTAAAACATGCACACCACATCGTCGGTGAGAACAGAGATTGAGGTTTCTTGTCTGAGTGGGAGGAAATGTCGGCAAGCATTGTGTACCATGCGGAGTTCCAGGAGACGGATATGTAGCCGGGTTTCCGTAGCAGACCACTTGCCTTGAACATTGTGGTGACACAAGTGGGCGCCCCAACCTATCAGGGAGGCATCTGTTGCAATAGTCACTGATGGGGGGGGTCTTGTTGAAAGGGAACCCCGGAGCATGCATTCCCTGGCTGTGTCCACCCTTGGTGGTAGTGTCACACATCTGTTGAAAGAGTGTCCCTATCCTGCCCCGACCACCCCCCAAACTCCCCAGCCCTTTATCCAAACCCCCCCCCCCATTCCCTGCCCCCTTACCGCACGGCCTGGAACACCAGTGGTGGGCAGCACGGCTGCACCAGGGCAGGCAGCCACGCAGCATAGAGCACCGGGTCATGCCAAGGTCTGCAGCCCTTACACCCAGAGCATTGCGCCGTGCGGTGGCGGGGGGACAGCCTCCTGGGCCAGAAGCTCAGAGGCCGGGCAGGACGGTCCCGTGGGCCGGATGTGGCCCACAGGCCGTAGTTTGCCCACCTCTGCTCTAAAACAATGGAGCATATTATTTTATGACTAATCTTAGATTATTTCCCCAATAAGCAATGGATATTACTGCAGCAATAGAGATTATTACAGCAATGGTGGCTTTAGAAATGCACATTTTAATAATAGTAAATTAAATTATGTATTTATGTTTCTTTCACAGACATAATAGCTACCTGCTTAGCTTTCTCCTTCAAGACAATAAGCTGGGATCTGTTGAAACTCATCACAGTCCCAAGGAATTCCACATTTTTGGTAAAAGTATCTGTATCCAGGCACTGCAGTTCCTGAACTGACCAAAAGGCATTTGCTTCTGCTAATTTAATAATCTCATCTGAAGAGGGAGCTGTGATTCCTGTGCAGTCTGGGAAGAAATCAAAACACAGACTGAAAGGATGACTTCTTTCCTTGAAGAAAACTAACAAAAATGCAAAGCAGCAAAGACTTTTGCTCTCTCGTTATGATGTTGATGTATTATGTATTAACTGGACCCAGAACAATCTTGACGTTAACTTAAGCATAAAATATTTTTGCAATGAAATAAAAATGCATTTTTTAAAAGTACAAGTGCAATTAATGTTCTTGCTACAAAATTAGTGTTTACCTAAATTTAGGTAAACATTTGCTCTGACCCTGTAAGGCAGCACATGCTGGAAAGGAAAGGAGGAGCAAACACATTTTAAAACTGTTACCATATAAAGGTATCTTAATAAAATGTAATTTGCATGCAGCAGCTAGAAAGAGCATCTAACTGTCCTAAGCACTGCTCAAAAAAATGGCACCCTACATTATTAAGAGTCAAATACTGAGATAAAGTCTTCCATTGACCTCAGTGGGAGTCTTGCTTGAGTCAGAACTCAATTAAGTTCCTTAGTTTGGCCTCAGTTTAAGTTTCCATATAGCTGTATTGTACTTTTGTTCCCACACAAATTTCAGCTGAATAAACCTGCCTATCTTTGTTCAAACAAGACTTGGTGAAGTCCAGCTCATTAGCTATTACATACGAGTAGCAGGCCTCTTCAGTTTGAAAGACACGGTCAGAGATGTATGACTGTAAGCGTTGCCTGACATTTAAACAAGGCAAGTAGATTGGTTTCCAGAACTTAAATGTGAGAGAAATGCAATACTCATGTCAAGCATGTTGTTAAAGTGCCAAGAATTAGGAAAATGCAGAAAGGGATGCTTATTTACAATAGAAATGTTTGGTCTGCCAAATTGTATTGGTTAAATATCTGATATAAGGGCAGATCCTGCTTCTTTTTTTATTGTGCATTTTGACAAACTCAGGTCTCTATAGCAGGGGTGGCCAACCTGTGGCTCCGGAGCCACATGTGGCTTTTCAGAAGTTAATATGCGGCTCCTTGTACAGGCGCCAACTTTCCAATGTGCCCGGGGGGGCGGGAGGCTCATTACTCAACCCCTGGCTCTGCCACACGCCCCGCCCCCTCCCCGAGCCTGCTATGCGCCCTTGCTCCTCTCCTGGGGCCCCCTGCCCCAGAACCTCCTGCATGCCACGAAACAGCTGATCGGGAGGTGCGGGGAGGAAGCGGGAGGCGCTGATCAGCAGGGCTGCCAGAGGGTGGGAGGCACTGGGAGCTGGAGGGGCAGGGCGGAGCTGATGTGGGGGCTGCTGAAGTATTACTGTGGCTCTTTGACAATGTACATTGGTAAATTCTGGGCCCTTCTCAGGCTCAGGTTGGCCACCCCTGCTCTATAGGCTTAATATCCCCGATACTGATGCAAGGGAGAGCCTAGCATCTTAACATGGTCTCTTATTAGCCAGTCTCCTGTCCCTAATTTAGCAAACGATTGTTCAGTCATTATCTAAACCAAACAATCTCTGAATGTCTTCAGATTTGGCCATCACCAGTAAAAAGCAGAACTCCACAGACGCTGCCTCTGAGCTGAGCTTCCAGAGCTAAACAAATTAAAGCAAGGACGTACAAAATAACTTTGTACTTTAAAAGGAAGCAGAGGACAGATTTATTTGAATCAAATAAAACTGCGGCAGTGGGTAGAACCCTGAGAAGGATGAATCTGTAGGCAAACGGAAAAGCTGTTTGACTTCTGTACAAGGAGACATTACTGCTTTCCCTTTGTCCATATAGAAACTGGCCTCTTGTAAAGCTAGATTGTTTCACTTTCCTCCACTGCAAAAGGTCAGTTTTTCTTATGTAAATGTTGCCCACGCAGAGACAATACAGTTCCATGCCCTTGTCATGAAAACCTAATGTTTTTGGTTCTTGGGAAAAAAAGCCTTAAGGAGTTCATTTCTTGTAACACACCAGCTCCGCTGGCAAGTTTGCAGATGGCAGTATTCATTACAATCCTGGCAGCATTTCCTGTGTTTGATGCTGATTCATTCTTGTTGTTGCTGTAATCAGATTTCACACTGATCAAGCATGAATGGGGCAGATATGTGAAAATGCTTAGATCTGAACATACACAATAGTATTTCATGACGCTGAGCCAGGAGACCTAGCTTTTATTCCCAGCACTGCCGTTGCTTCACTGTGAAACCTGGGGTAAATCACTTAATCTCTTTGCCTCGGCTCTCCCCTCTGTAAAAAATGTCATAGGACACTCACTTTTATTTTAAATAATATTACTGAGAAATAGAGATTGAAAAAAAACTACAGTCCTAAGCATGACTGTTGTTATGACAAATCCGCAACTGGATATTTTGAAAGGCAAACACTGGGCCAATTAGCATGAAGTTTGAGGAGCAACATTAGACCACTGCAATCCTGAAGGTGTTTTCATAATAATCCTGTTTTTCAGGGATTTAGAAGTCAGTCACTGTAACAGGGTGGCTTCCCCCGTTAATGGCTAGAGGCCTGGGGCCAACCAACCCTAGTTACAAAGTAGACACACCTGAGTCCTCTAAAGAGCAGTAGGAATCTGCAAGAGGAGGGATGCTCAGAGAAAAACAAGCAGAGTCAGTTGTAGCTGGGAGCAAGAAGGCTCCAGCCAGGACCGGCTCTAGGCACCAGCAAAGCAAACACGTGCTTGGGGTGGCACCATTCTAGGGGCGGCATTCCGGCCATCCGGTTTTTTTGTTGCTTGGGCAGCATTCTGTCCACGCCCCCGCCCCCCTTTTTTTTTTGCTTGGGCAGTTGTGCTTTCGGAGTTTGGGATGGCAAAAACCCTAGAGCCGGCCCTGGCTCCAGCAAGGCACCCAGCAGGAAGATTGGAGCAGAAGCTTGATGGGGATTGGAGAACTTTTATTTTGAAATGTTATGTTAATAAATGCAGCCGCAGGAAGGAGTGTGCTGAATTTAATAGGAGTTTGTGTGTGTTTAAGAATCCTCTTGAAGGGGGAAACAGACGCAAGGTGCCTGCAGAACAACCTCAGACCACAAGGGTACATTAGTGAGGCAGCTGACCTGATGACAGCCATAAAACTTCACTTCTGGCTGAAACTTGCTACGTGAACTCTCTATAAACTGTGTGTGATTATGTTGCAGAACTTCATTAAAATTAATTCAGTCTTTCTTTCTTGTGTGTGTCTGATGACAGCACAAACTCTACACTTCAAGGCTCTCCCCCAGCCAAATTATTCATATTTGTTGAAGAATGAAAGGCCTCCACGGCACTGGAGCACCATGATGGTCTTCGGTGGGGAGCGTGGCAGCACTGGGGGGTTCTGCATTGGCTGCTCGTTGCCCCTGAATGCAGAGGGGGCCACTGGGGTGAGCCAGAGTGGCTTCTAGATCCATGTTACTCATAGACTTTAAGGTCAGAAGGGGGGACCATCGTGATCATCTAGTCTGAACTCCGGAACCTCGCAGGCCACAGAACCTCACCCATCCACTTCTGTAATAGACGCCTAACCTTTGGCTGAGTTACGGAAGTCCTCAAATCATAGTTTAAAGACTTCAAGTTACAGAGAATTCACCATTTATACTAGTTTAAACCTGCAAATGACCTGTGCCTCATGCTGCAGAGAAAGGCAAAAACCCCCCAGGGTCTCAGCCAATCTGACCCCGGGGAAAATTCCTTCCCAGCCCCAAATACAGTGATCAGTTAGACCCTGAGCATGTGGGCAAGACCCAGCAGCCAGACACCTGGGAAAGAATTCTCTGTAGTAACTCAGAGCTTTCCCCCCATCTAGTGTCCTATCACCAGCAGCTGGGGATATTTGCTACTGGCAGTCGTAGCAGTCCCATCAGACCATCCACTCCATAAACTTATCAAGCTCAGTCTTTAAGCCAGCTAGGTTTTTTGTCCTCCATTGCTCCCTTTGGAAGGCTGTTCCAGAACTTCACTCCTCTGATGGTTAAAAACCTTCAACTAATTTTGAGCCTAAACTTGTTGATGGCCAGTTTATAGCCATTTGTTCTTATGTCCACACTGGCGCTTAACTCCTCTCCCTCCCTGGTATTTATCCCTCTGATGTATTTATAGACAGCAATCATATCTTCCCTCAATCTTCTAGTTTAGGTAATCCCAAAACACTACAGGTACTTCAGTACAGGTGCTGTGACCCAGTAGCCTGAAAACTATGTTCTAAATGACATAAAGGCAAGCTGCACTGCAGACTTGTGGCCACTCGCTGGGTTACTTTAAGCTCGTTTTATGCCATAAATCACTACCTGTGCAGGGAGGGGTGAATTTCATCCACACTACACAGTAGTGTTTTGGTACCTGTAGTGTTTAGACTACCTAAACTAAAATAGATTTTGCTTTGTTACGCCAGTGTAAATCTGGAGTGACTCCACTGAAGTCAGTGGAGTGGATGGGGGGAGGCAGTGTACCCTAGAGCACTGGACTCAGTTCTGCATTAGGTTCTGTTTCTGACTCTGCTACTGGCCTGCTGGGTAACCTCAGGCGAGCCACTCAACCGCTTTGTGCCTCAGTTTCCCCATCTGTAAAATGGAGATAATGATATTGACCTCTTGTAAACTTTTTTTGAGCTCTACTGATGAAAAGTGCTAAATAAGAGCTAGGTATTATTATTGTTTTGCTGAACTGAGGCAAGAATACATCACTCCAAAACTACATTTATTGTTCCTCCTTTGTATATAAATATAGTATGATAAGGGCCAAATTCTGATCTCAGATACACCATCATAAATCTGGAATCACTCCACTGGATTTGAGTGGGGGTCCAAGCAGATCTAAAGGTATCGAGCACAGAGCTCCATGAAAGATAGGGGCCTATACTATATTAAACAAAGAACCCAGGGTGAAGCTTTCGAAGATGCAAAAGGCAGGTAGGCATCCAACTCACAATGAAAACATTGGGTGCCTAATCCACATGTATGCCTTTGAAAATCTACCCATAGCA